GGGTCCAACTGTGGCTCACTTTGGCGTGTAGCGCCCTTCTTGTTTTTCTTCCCACCCGTTCTAGAACTTCCCCACATGATCACGACTTTAGGAAACTAGAGAAAACTATTTAAAAAAACATAAGAGTAAGCTTGAGAGTAAAGCGTGGCAGCACGTCAATATATATTTGATGTTCTCTACGCTTCCACGCTTAATTTAGATTCGCTTCACAACAGTTGCGGCAGAGATTTCTAGTATTGAAGGTTTCATTCACGGAAGAAAAAAATAATTACTCACCAAATTCGGTTGAACATAATCACTGTCCAAGTTACACCCGTAACAATACGAGACACACAACCCCATCACTCATCAGGATGATAGGAATTTACTACTGTACATCGAAATTCCCATCAGATGTGAGACGATTTTTCTCGCCTGGAATAAAACTTTCGCAAGCGTTTCAGTAAAATAAAATAGCACAACTTTTTTTCAACGAAATAGAGTTCGTTCAGTTAACTTCCTCATTTAGAAAATGTTCATGAGGGAATGGAATTTGAGCGAGTTTCCAGGATAGGAGGCTTGTAAGTGATTAAGGGGAAGTAATATCCCACTTTTAGTAGACTTCAATAACAATATCATCTTTCTGGACATGGCAAAAGGTTTCACCAAATTCTCCTACACAAGAACATCCTACGAGCAGCGAATTATTGGTGCTGTAAATATCTCTTGAACAGCGCAGTCGCAATACAATTTTCAAGAAAACTGCAGAACACGTCATGAATTCTAAGGCACAGCTTCTCCAACAGAAAAAAAGACTTCCTGTCCAAGTCCAAGACATTCCACCCAATCCTTAAAAAAAATTCCAAAAACACTACTTGTTGGACTGAGCAAAAAAGTTAACAAATTTTTGAATCACAAAAATTCAAAATAATTCTCTGCAATGAAAAAATGCAAATAGCGCCTCGCGAGGCTGCAAACAGAAGTTTATTTTTAATTACCATTTTAAGCAAAGCAGGACTAACATGAAAATTTTTAGAGAAAAAATTAATGGAAAAACTTATGAAGATATCTGTTTTATTATATTCTCATGTTCGTCACTTTAATTGTCAGTTCCTGCATTTAGCTCCAATGACGAGATTGAATGCAGCCAATATTTGATGAGACATCAACCATTCGAGCAGAATCATCCCATCAACTAGCTCTAAATTCGAATTCGAGATCTCATCGATTTCAAAGACGTGAAGCGTGACTTTTGGCAAGCCTGAAGTTGTAGAAACAAAAGGAGCGCTTTATACTTGCCAAAATGCGGTAGTACGAATACTAGTTAACGAAACTCGATAAAATTCCACATAACACGACGGAAAGCAGGACTGAGGAACCCGATGAGGAAGTTCGACGAGCAACCAGAAAAATCAACAGATCTGGCGAATGAACAGATGATCTTTTAATCGGGGATTAAGCCAAAAGACCACACACGCAAAAAGATAGTCAACAACAACAAAAAAAAGCACGAACGTTTCGGACAGTTAAGTGTTAGACGAAAAGGTTGCGGAGGTAAAGTAGGTGGTGAACGACGGCAGCCCTTTGAAAGAGGTCAACGAGTCGTCTGCCCCTTTAGAGGAATGAAAAATAAGCACGGAGGTGGGCATCAATGTCGTTGAGCTTCTTCCGCAAATTCCGCAATCGCTTCGCAGGATCCACCGGATCTGAGATCCGGAGAACGTCTAAACTCAGCGCCGAGGGACTCGGTTTCTTGGAATTCTTGTCGGCGGCGTTCTCTGCGGCGGGTTTCTTGACGGCTTCACCCTGCTTACCCTTGGCGGCCTTTTTGGCGGTCTTTTTGATGCTGGCGACGGCTCGCGCAGGGTCCAAGCCCGGAATCAACGCATTGCCGACTTCTCGGGGATTCGATTCGTGACCGGCGTTTCGCTCGCGTGCCAGTCGCAGGCGCTCGATTTGTGCCGGTGAAAGCCCGATGGGATGGTCAGGTACAGCTTTGGCGAATTGTTTGCCTTTGCTCTCATACCTGGGACATTGAAACGGGGTGTTCATTGTGAGCGATACGTGGGGATGTTCACGCATCAGGCGCAATTTCACTAATGCCGTTATCACCGCCATCAATCTCCGAGCAGTCCTTGAATTTTATTCTATTTTTCCCGTCTTCCCTCTCAGCAAGATACGAGATCGGAACAAGAGGGAATTGTGACGCAGATTCAAAACCAAGTGATTATTAATCAATTCGGGTTAGCTTTGGTTGAAACAGAATAAGATTCAAAAACTCTGCATTTTTCAGATGATATTCAACCATTTTCGGCATGACGAAATCTGGGTATTTAATATAAAAAAATTGATGCATCCAGTCTGGAAAACCAACACATCGAAATACAAAATTCATCAAGATAGCTGGCCTGACATATCACTTAATTCAACATCATTCTTTCAACTGTAAACGTGACGATGCTAACCTTTCAAAGAACTACCGTAGTAAAAATTGTAGTCAACATTTGAAAATCCTGACCTTGACCCCGTCTCACTCAACACCCATTACCGACGTAAAATGACGCGCGTGACACCACCACACTAACCAAAACCCACATCTAACCAAACACTAAGCAAATTTGACACTCGGTTAATAATTAACCGAATCAACTGAAACCTCAGACGAAAACTAAAATTAACCTGATCTAATATTCAAGTCATTCTCAAGCAGACGAGACGCAATATGCAAGTGACGACAAACCCAACATGATACCAAAGTCACAACTCCTCTAAAGAAAAAAAACCCCAAAAAATGTAAATTGGAATCAAAATTGACAAATGGATACCAAAGTTCAAAGACAAAGCACGGGTAACCTGAGCAAGAAAGAACCGAAATTTTATCTTGTCGACAAAATACGCAACTTCTAGAAGTACAATAGTTCGTTTGTTCTGTTTTTTTGCACGTGAAAATTCTACGAGTTTCCATAAAATGCCTTGAATCCGCCAGAAATTCACTCCGATCATCATGGAATCAGAAGAGATGAGTTTGCATAAACGAATAATGAAGCACTTACAATGGAACTTCTTCTTGAGGAACGTATCCATCTTTGACGCGTCTCGCTTTTCTCCATGTTCCATCCGGCCGACGAGAAGCAGGAATGTATCGATTTCCTACAAAATTGCAAGAAAAGTAAAACCCAAGAAACCCGAAGTTTGTTTTTTCTCATCCTCACCGTCTTCTCTCACAATGGTCGAATCGTCCATGGCTAATCGCGGACGACGTCGTCACGTCGTCATTGAACCTAAATGATTCCACAGCACCGGATATCTGTCGCATTTGATCAAAAAGAGCCATCATCTACCTAAATTCGAATTGATAATCACAGCTGTTTCCATTGGTTCAACTTCATGACGCTTCCTTTGCCTCATGAAAAAACATTCGGCGAAAAAAAGAACATGACAACTAACCGGGTTGTTCATGCAAGCGTCCAACTTTATGTTCAAAAGTGGATCACTCCAAGAAAACGATTCCCCCTAATAGCTCAAGAACACGTCGCACCAATGTGAACAGATGTGATCGATTCCAAGCGAACTCCCCAAAAAGACTTTGAATCATCTTCAGCATTTATATTTCTTGGAAAGAATTCAATGCTGACGCCACAAAAGCCAAAACCAGGGATTCAGGAATGCGCCCCGTTAATGAACCGATCAGCTTCAACAAATACAACTACACGACAAAAAAACAAAACAAAAAAATTCATGAAACTCCTTCCGAAGACTACTCTGACCTGTTTAAAACTTCGGAAGAAAAGTTTCGCGCTGTCACTGGAACCACCCACGAAAACAACGAAGAAGGTGGTGTACGGATTCGAGAGCTAGACCGAGGGCGATGGAAAGCAAAACAAAAAGAAATGAAACCGTGAGAGGCCCAACAAGACTTGGGTGCTGAAAAACGAGTCGGGAGGTTTAGCTACGGGTCTGGCTCGAACACCGGCGGGACCAAGTTCAAGAAGTTCAGGTCGACCCTCGTCTTGCAGTCTCACTATGGAAAGAAAAAAAAAAGAATTAAAGGTTAGAATTGACGAATTCGAGGGTCGCTTCAGAAATTGAATTGACAAATTCGAGGTCTTTGGCTTCCTATCATTCGAGTCTTTTTTTAACGGAGTACGATACGGTTTTACCCAGGGCGAGAGGGGCTCAAAGCATCGGACTTCTCGCAGAAGGGATTCAAGCTAAAATCGCCTTCCGCTTCGTATAGTGGACCCCGCTTCAGGTAATAAACCGTATGATTTAAAAACCATCGAAGTTTTCCGTGGGAGACAATTTTCAAGAGCATCAAAGAAGTTGTATTTTAAGTTCTCTTAAACTAAAACTTGAAGTTATCGATGTCACGGAAGTAAAATAATTTATTAAGTGCTACCTTTAAAGAGTTCTTACCTACTCGGGAAGTTCGACGTGTATTGAGGCCTGACTGTATGCTAGGTTGCAAAATCAGCCATTTTAGGATTATTTCCTTGATGGCACTTTTCAGACGATGAATAAATTTTCTACAGGAAAGCAACATCAATTAAATTGTTCGGCATTTAATCTTAAAACGAGAAAAAGACCGGTGACGTATTTAAAAACGGACGAGTTCTGATTTAAGCGCACTTCTGTCTTCAAGGCTCGTGAGAAGTAGAGCCGTACTTTATAAAATGTGGTAATTACAAAGTCAGTCTAGCTGCTGCCAAACGTCACCCAAAAATCTACCCAAAATTTGAAAAAAATTCGCAAACCAAAAACTGTTCTCTTCGAGGCAATTTTTGCTCTGCCGATGAGCGAGAACGGTACCCTACATTTTCACACGATTATGAGTTAATGCTGAAGTCTGAGCTGCATCGGGATCATTGGCAGATGTTAAATTGAGTTTCGAAATTGGACCTCACATTAGTTCGGAGGATTCTGACACATCTCTCGAAGAAGTCTTTGACAAGAGCTCATTTTTCAGCATGACATTTTTGTATCATTTAAAGTAGTCATGAATATTAAAAAAAAAAATTAAAAAAACACTGAAGAGAGTCGAAAGAACCCTGAGCAAAGCAAAAATGAAGTAGCCTCACGAGATGCATTCGGAATATTCGTGAACAATCGGCTTTAGGTCAGGGAAAATCAATAGGAAAATTCCCCCGACGTTCTCTCGAGTCTTGACAACTTACCGGGCTTCAGACGCTGTTCGTATGCGGAGCTGAGTCGTGCATTATTGTCAAGCTTCGCTCGGAAACTAGTATCCTTGTCAATAATGTATCGTCCACCCAAGCCAAAGGAAGTGAGGTTGTTGGAAGTATTGAACCCAATTGTAAAAAACTTGATGATGTGAACCACAATACAATACAGTATGCGGATTTCGGAAAATGGCGTTCAGAACTTTAAATTACGCCACATCCAACGAAACCGTCGGTATTCCGTTTCCCCAAAAGGAAATTTCCGTATTTTATTTTCAGCATCCACGTCTGGCTTGGGGTTCAAAAGCAATAATGAAATGGTGAATGCGCGTTGCTTTTTTTGCGTACTTTGATTAAGTTTACCATAAAATACTGTGCCTCCGTCGTGAGCATTGTTCAGGGATAGGGTGATTCTCGAACTACCATTAACCAAGACTTAAATGCAGTGCTGTACATCAAAGTTCAAGAATATCACCGTAAAACGAAGTTCATGTAAAAATAATGTAGGCAATGTGAAAAAGGAAAATTTGTTCGAAAAATCCCGTGAAGAGAAACAAGTACAGTCTAGCTTTTTAACGCATGGAAGACGAAAGAATAAGATTTTTTTGGTGCTAAGAATGGCGCCTGGAAAGCAGGAGGAAATCAGTGACATAATGACAACGATTATGCTATGTCAAAATACGATAAATTAAAGAACAAAATTTTAAGAACACTTGGTGGAGAACAAGAATCGCTGGCTTACTCAATTAGCAGGGAAGGAATCGGACTGAGATTGGCTCTAAAAAGGTTAAAAGTTTACCATTCCAACTGTTGTTTGGATGATTTGATGATGCTAGGGATTTTTTCCTCCCTTTTGAACAGTCCCAACTTGGATATAAACTCAAATTTTAAAGAATAAGCGCATAAGTACAGTATACTGAAACATTCATGCAATTGTGGACTAGTTCATGCATTATTCTAGTAGCAGCTGAATTACGATACACTAGTTGAGAATTATTCAAAAGGGGAAAAACGGAGTAAACAAATCTAGCGCAGTAATTCTGCCACTCAATGCATTTGTTTTCCAGCGTAAAAAGATGTAGTTTTTCGGGAATCATTGTTTTCGCATAACCAGGTGCCATGGATCCGCTCAAATTACATAAATATATCCAACTTGAAACCGTTATAAAAACCTTCGCGCTTCCACATGATACGGAAGGACACGACGAAGTCAAAATGCAGTATTTCATCAAATTTTAAATTGCTTCCGATTTCTGATGACAATAGCGATGGAACTCAATCCTCACATGCTCAAGTTGAAGTTGACTTCCCTCATGCTATAGCCCAAGCTAACGTTGGACTTGGTCAGTTTGCCACTGCCAGCATCATAGGCAGTCTGATAGCCGGCGAGGACACCACCGTAACCAAGAACCATTCCACCCATCAGAAGTGGCCCGTTGAAAACATCGGCTTCGAAGTTGACGGCTGCGTTCTCGTGCTTGAACTGTCCCTTGCCGATCACGTTCCATGCACTGATGGAAAGCAAAAACGAAAAGTTCATTATAAGTATTATAACACTGGCAAGTGTCGAGATTTTTCGCGCCTAACGTCGAAAGCAGGAGAGAAAGTTACGCGTGTTGTAAATTCCGGCACGTTACCACTTGATACACACATGAATTACTGAATTTTTTGCTCCGAGTGAAATAAGAACCACGAACGAGGGGTGGCTCATAATTTTGCCAGTCTGTTGCTTCAGTTGCTGGAGTCTTGGCCGGAGATATAATAATTTTTTACGGTGATCATTCCATATTTCATCATTTTTGGAAATGTTCCAGTGTTTAATACAACTGGTTGAATCAAAGATGGAAACGAAATTGAAAGTCGATCCTATCCCTGTAACGGAACAAATTTTATTTTCTGCACAAGTTTCATGAATTCGTGGGCAGTATACGGGCTAAAAAAATACTGTATTTTCATTACTGAGTTCAACAGTACGCAGTAGAAGAACAACTTTAAAACCAACGCTCGTCTCTCGTTTTTTTTAAATTCCAACACGTTTCAAAAATTGTACAAAACAAAAACAAACACATATTAAAATTTTCGTACAGTTAGTTCCCGCAGAACACAAGACCCACATAACGAAGAATCCGCAGAACGAAAATTACTAAAGAGGAAAACATGACTTGAATTAAAAAATTACCTCACACGACGAAAGTTTTGGGCCAAAATATTCGCGAATACTGTATAATCAAGTTTTGAACTGAAACTTTAGAGTTTTTTTTTAATCAAGAAAAAAGAGTAAAGAAAATCATAGTTTTCCATTTTCTTGCCTCAACAATTTGAGAAATTTAGAGCGTTATACGCAAAAGTTATCAAGATTACTTCAATTTCATGCTAAAGTCACGATATTCTGCTGAAAAATACAGAAATATTATGGTTATGGTTTTGAGGTTAGCGACTGGAATGAATTAAATCAATTGCAATGTCGTCATAAGGGAAACGCTCTTCACAAAAAGAAAATTCGGCACAACAAAACTCTTCGAAGAACGCATTATTTTCGTTATGCGGGGACTCACTGTAAAATTAATTACTCGTGCTTCAAACATTCCAAAGCTAGAAAGCAAAAGAGAATCGGATTCCGAATTAGAAAGGCTTACCCGGTGTAAGGGGAGAACGATCCAACAGCGGACACCTTGGATCCCTTGCCCAAAGCATCATCAGCGGCAAGCTCAAGGTTGATCACGTTGTCAGTAGTCCACTTTTCAGTGCATGTGATTCCTGAAGACCCGAAAAATCCCCGTCAATGTCAGCCTCTGAAAATTTACGCAAAAAAAAAAAAACCAAGCACTCACCTTGGGGGGCATGAGTGTACTTCACATCCAAGTTCCCAGACACAACATTCTTTTCAAGGTTGATCACCTGACCCGTGGTGAATTCTACACCTGTTTTTGTCTTCGACTTGAAGTCGAGCTTCACCAGACCAATGTGGTATCCTTTCCTGAAGACATCACGAGCCTGTTTGCCCAAATCCGCGTACATTGGAGGTGCCATCTTTTCTGCGATTTGATTAAGCTACCGACGGACAACTTGTCAAGAGATTCAGTTGTAATGGAATCACACCTTAAATGGGCAGTGTGTAAAATAAAAGTCGCTCTGAAATAAAAATAAAACATTATAAAAGGCAGTGTTTCACACGCTAACTGACACGCAGAAACGCGAATATTTCAGGGATTTACAAACACGTGATTTTGAAATTTGCGTCGAGGAGTTGAGGCAAATTGAAACGGGAAAATCCTGAAACTTTACAAGGAACTACATATGTAAAAAGAGGACCAAGAAATTTGGTCTTCTTGGGGCAAATCTGAGAGTGATTCATTCCCTAACAATCTCGCACAACACAATCTCTCACAGACCCAATTATGTCTAATTATGCAACAAATGTATGCATATTTCCTCCCACATTTTTACATTCCTCTCCCAGGCGCCGAAAAAATATTAGGGGATTTCTAAACGGGAATCACCCTTGGAGAAAAATATCATCACTAAAAATTGAATAGCAAATCCCCGGAATGATCACGCTTTCAGCGGTTGAGTAGCACGAAAATAAAACCTCGTAATATTACAAAAATGAGCACGCAAAAAAAAACAACGTGGAATGATGCTTGTATTACTTGAAATTAAACACCTAAATATCCTCCGCTCCACAACTGAAAAAAAAATCATGCTATCACATTATGCGTGGAATACGGACTCGTCACGTGCGCAATTCCAGAACACCTCAAACCAACCGCACCGTCTAAATATTCCTTCTTCGACTGGAAAAAGAAACAAAACAACCCACCACGAGAGAAACCAAAACATACTTCATAAATTTGTTCCCTTTGCAAACATACGAACCAAGCCCGAACAAATGGCAAAGACTGTCCCTATACATGCCCTTCGCAATAAACTCGTAATAACTCCCTTTTCTTTTTTTTGTAAGAAAGTTCAAATCGAAAAACGGTTCAACCGTTCGTCCAAGAAGCGCTTCCGACAAATCGAAAATTTTTTCAACGCCGTCGAATTATGAAAGTGAAGACAACTTTTCTCGATCTCAAAACTTGCCTAGTCCTCGAAAAATGTTGAATCATGAGAGCCCCAGAAATTCGCATACTTCTCGGAAACTTGTTCGGTTTCCCTAATCGGTAGAATAGGATCACCGCTCGTTCGTTTTTCTATCTCCCGCCGGGGAATCTTCGTGTTCTTCGTCCACTGGTGGAGAAGGGGATGAAACAGGATACTCTGCCTGAACTGCTCCTCTGTTTCCTCCGGGAGGAATTATTTCCAGACTTTCTTCCGAAGAATTTCCACTGTGATTACCGCCGGATTCGATTCTGCGCGATGACGCGTTCTGGCCGGAGTTGCGAGAGGATTTCCTGTTCTCTTCTTTCCTGCAACAGTCGAAAAAGAAAGCGCTTTCATCATTCAGATGATTCTTGTCAGCTCAATTGAAAAAAAAAAAATCTGATGCCAGATCTGGTTCAAAAGTTTTACCAGTTTTTAACTCTCCACTATTGGGGATTCCAAAAAAGCTTGACAGACGTGGACGAACAGTTTTCTACTGGACACAACATCTACGCATAAAGGGGTTTGTGATCTGATTCATTCACCAACAATTCTACACACGGAAGAGATTCGTTTTCCGAAGGATTCCACAATTGGTCCCAATCGTCCCAATTTTTCGGAAAATCCCAAATATGCCCTAAGGTTGCAACCGAAGTATGCACTAAATATCTTTCCCCAAATGAATTTTTCAAGGTCTTTGAAAGCCCTGATGGATCTATGGTATTCTCAAAAACAACCAGTACAAGAGAAGGTATCAGAGCCTTCGCCTCGAAGAATTTACATTACTGATCAGCGTGGGGATCCATTTGTTGAAAGAATTTGTGTTTTCAAATGCAACTTTTCATTTAAATTCAAGGACCCCTTTTGTGCAAAATTAGAGCTCAACAGCCTGCTGTCGGAGCATCAATTTCCAAAGCTTGGAGCAAAAATGACGATGATCCAGAGGCAACATAAAATCATTCTTTAACCTAGTCAAACTCGTCTTCCCAGCGTAATTATCAATTTGGAATGACTCAGATCAAATCTGGGTTAGTTCACAAGACTTCGTTCATTATTGTACTTTCACCGTTGCTCCGGTTTGGAAAGTATTCAAGACTTCCGTGTTCCCGCATTCTACCCGCAATTTCCTGTCTGGCACACGCTTCTAGACACAATTCGAATATGATTTCTTCCGCGCCAGCGAAAATATTTAAATGTAATTCATTTAGCAATAAACAACTTTGCTGGATTTGCATAGTTCACCACAGAAGGTAGGTTTGGTTCAATAAGTCTTCTGATTCACTGATTCGGAACCTTCATACTGCATAAAAACTGCGGGGATCGACAATTAATCTAATCCAACTACAAATCAACAAAGATAGACAAAGAAGTTATAATTTCATCAAACAGAGCGGAACTTTTTTTCGCCAATGCCAAAGAAAAGGTAAACGAAATGTTCTCCACATTATCCTTGGAAGTTATTTCCGTTTCTCGTCATAGCCTTTTTTATTTCATTTTTCTCAATATCCGTTTCCTTACCTTCCATCCCCGCTACTGTTTCCCTTGATCTGCCACGAAGGAATGCTTGGTGGAACTCCGGACGGCAAATTGGCAGCAGGAAAATGCATTCTACCCCCGGACAACAAACTTTTTAAACTATTCGCAAGTCAGGCATCGAAAAAACGAATGTAACTTACCTGCTCAGGAACAAGGACTTGACAGAAGCAAGTTCCTGCTTCAACTCTCGAACAGAAGCTTGAATCCCTGTGGACGCGAACTGCTGACTTTCCAACGAGAAAAGAATTTTCTCCAACGTCGCGTTCATTTGTTTCAAGGCATGATCGTTCTTCTCCAAGAATGATACCATAGTGAATTCCTGCGTTCTTCTCCGCTCGGGAAACATGAACGGTTCGATGATTCCCTGATTTGATCAAAAAACGAAACGTCTTGATAATCTAGCTCATCAGCTCATGCAGATCTGATGGAATGCACGTTTGAGATGAATTCAAAATCCGAAATTACACGAACTGTCACAATGCGACATTATTGTACCATTTAGATTAATACTGTATAATACTGAATATGAAATCTTGACCGAAATTCAAGTATTCCACCAATCTAACTTTTTAAAAAATAATTTCAGGCGAATCCAAGATGAACGGTCCCTTATTGCACGAAGGTTCAGGAATGATCAAAAAGATGCATTACTTTTAAAATTAACACCTCCACAAATACAACTCATTGCGACGATAAACCGCCAAAATCAAGTTAAGGGTTAGTTTTACCCCACGTGGAATTAACCTTGACTGCCATATCGTTTCAGAACTTCTCGTTTAAAAGTTGTCAGAAGCTTTCTTTCATTCTTAATTTACACCGTAATTTAACCATGCTTGAAAGTCAAAATCCATCCTCAATGGTACAGAGAGGTACGATTTAATGCTATATTCATCATTCCATTTGATTCTATTTTTGAAGATTTTTGAATGTGCATTGGAACCACAATCGACTTTTCTAGTTCGAGAGTCAAAGAGAGAATAAACGTGCAAGTACTGTATGTTCACGTGAATATTACACTAAAATTTTAGGAATGCAGTTGAAACAAAGATAAGAAATATACGAACCTTATAAAATCGAAAACACGCATAGGTGATTCCACCAAGCACCAGACAGAATGTCCCAACGCTTTGATAATCCAATAATCGTTGCCTGAAGGAGTCTTGCTCGGCGAAAAGAGGAGGACGAACTACAACTGAAGGACTGAATTCTTCAGCGAATGAATTTGATGCCGATTCCGTTGCTTTAAGAGCTGACTGAATATCTTGCTCTTGCAGACCTTTCTTCCGAAGGAATTTCACCTTGTCCTCCACTTTATGACTTGTTACTGCTGGATGCGTTAGGAATGCGATAGCTTTGGTCACCTGGTGGAAAAACAAATGCAAAAAGTATAAGAAAAATACTGTACTAGTCCGGTACTAGTCGCTGCATACAATTATGAATAGCTATAAAATAAATCGTTCGGAACTTCGAAGGATGCACAAACACTCAGAAAATACTTATAAAAAGCATGGAATCACGAGCAAATCCCAAGAACACTCATCAGTTTTCGTGGATTACAAGATTCAAAACCGCAATTTTTCAAGCACAGACGCTTTTACAAAATATTCGCTAACAGTATTTACGCAAATACAGGCACAACTTCTTTTTTTTTTTTTACTTCGGAAGCTAAAAAAAAATAGAGGTTTCTTACATTCGCTTTTTTATGTTATTTGAGCAAATTTGCGTCTACATCAGGAAATCTTCTCGTTTGTGGCCCACAACACGACTGAGCACTACTTCTCTTCAGTTCTTTTGGAATTGATGTTGAAAATATTCAAGAAATGATCAATTCTTGACACTTCAAGATGAACGAGTGATTGACTGAAGAGGAAAAGCAAAGGTCGTGTGAAACCCTTTTTCCATTTACGGGGAAACCCTGAATTTATTCCGAAAATAAAGTTCCTGGCAAGTTAGAACACCAGTATAGAGTAGGTGGGTGTTAATATTCGCCAATCCATGGAATTTTAATTTTACGCATGAAAATTCTAGGGAAGGGTATTTACATTCGCGCAGAATAAGGTACTGTATTCCCAAGAAAATATGACATTTCTCACCATTGGATTGTTCGACGGGGTTCCATCAGTTAAAACAATGTCCGGAAAATTGTTGTTCTCCGATACGGCGGGGGCTTTATGTGGGATTTCACTGACCGACATTTCCGCGAGGTAGATAGGAATCCACAAAAGAAAGAAAAACTAAACTGAGCGTACAGCTACCAGACACCTATGAGGATTATAAGCATAGTAAAGTTTCATGAAGTATTTGCCTTTTTAGGCGCATGAATTTCACACGTAAGATTACACCACATGCAAAGAAATCTCATTTTAAATTCAGTTCACGGAACTACGAACATCGCCACACACAATTGCACCGATTTCCTAGAATGAAACCAAAGCGACGAGTCCTCGAAAGATAACATCCTAAATAAGGTTGAGACGTGGGCTTCAAACGTTGTAGCCAACCAAGTTCCTTTTCCCGATGCACTCTCCAATGAAGAACCAGCAAAAGACTTCAAACGTCACCAGAGTGTTCAACCACGCTTCCTAAATGTAAAAAGAAAGATTTTGAAATAAACTTCATTTTGCATGGGCCTCATATGGAGACAGCATAAGACCACGAAGAATCGTTTTTTAACACTGCTCGAGTTCAAACTACAGTACTTCATTGAACTGGGCTTACTGTATCCTATCAAAAATGCTTACTCCGCGATAACAAAAAGTTCTCAGAACTTTCGATATATAGTAACTACAATATTTCCTTGCAGCTATCAATTATTTTCTATTTGATCACTTCCCAGGGACTTGGTTGCGCTTCCAGAGAAACAAAACTGAAGATTGTTCAACAGAAGTCCTCATGAGGAAGTTCTTCCCTGAAGAACATTTGCGCACTAGTACGACCAAAGCTCGAGGTAAAAAGCACGATAACTGGCCATTCACTTTCAAAAGCCCAAAAATGTACTTTGAACTTAGCAAGAAATATGATTAGCCCATGAGATGCCTTCATAGACATTAGTTTCCAGAAAGAAACCACGCAATGTAAGTGAACCACGAGAAAACCAGAAGGTTCACGAAATGTGCCCCAACCGGGCCACGGAGAATAAGATAGATGAAGATAAAACAGAAATTTACCCTGACGGAAACATGCTGCCATTTCCCACGTCCTGCAGAAGCCAAAAGCTGAGTAAATTGCTTTATAGCGATGGGTATCTCTCCCGGTGTGGGTGGAGTCAGTTCAACCTTTGCATACCGCATGAACCATTGAACATTCGGCCTGGCTCGGTCAACGAGCTCTGAAACAAAATTATTGTCAAAACGAGACATTATTCAATTGCGAAAATAATTACTTACTTGGGATCTGGGAGCTGACCTTTGTTACTAGACTGGCCATTCTGTTCACTCTAAACGAATTTGAAATCAATTTTATTACCTGCGAGCGGAAGAAAAAAATAAAAAATAAATATATATATATATATAGTCGTGAATTCAACCTGAAAAAATGAAAGGATGTTCCACATACAAAAGTGGATATACGCCCATAAACCACATAAACCAAGGAATATCACAAAGATCCGACGTCAATAAAACAGACCGAGATCCTACTCGCTTCAGTACTTGTCGCAATTACGCGACGAGTACATAGTACAAAATTCGTCGCTCGTCATTTCCTCGTAACGTTCAAACCCGAAGCCCTCTATCAAATTATGGATATTGCAATAATTCACTGAGAAGTCCAAATAAGCGAAGAAAACCGTCGAAGTGGAGAAGGCTTCCACAAGACAATCTCCTCGAGGCGAGTCCAAGAACTTGAAATGCATGGCATCAATAAATCCGAACGCATCGTTTGTTTGATGTGTGGCTTGAAGCTCGTTTTCCGTCACGTTTCCCAACTGTTCAAATCAGGCAAAAATGTGTCAGGCGAAGGAACAGAAGAGAAAAGACTCGAACTAGCCTTGTAAAGGCACTTCATTCCGCCGTTCTTGCAGTTCTCCTCCGTTTCCCACGACTGAATTTGACTTACAAGAGCGTTTTTGACCGCATCGCAAATCGGTAAAGCCTTATCGTACTGATCGCCAAAGAAAGTACTAAAAGACATACAGTTCACGAAATAAATACTGAAATTTCCAAATAGCACGCACCGAATACATACATGTTAACTTGACATGACGCGTGCGCTGGATACGGCAAAACCGCCTTCGCAATGCATACGCTCAAGATCACGAAGAGCAATAATCCTGCGACAATCGCAGACAGAATCATCATACAAGTCACGCATTTTCCTCGTCGGTTGTCTAAATAAAGTAATATAGCAATTAAGACATCATTCTTCAGCGAGAATTTCGGAGATTTCCACTCACCATGCATTTCGTTCCCAACGGCATTCCGCGCGGACTGACCAGAACTGGCCAGCCGAGGCTTCGACGATTTACTGATCAATTCTTGATTCTCCATTGCTTGAATTTGAACATCTCACTCTCGCGCTTACGAGATGCAATATAGCACGCTGCAGAGAACGCCGTAATTTGACTCTTCACGTACGATGGCTACGACAGAGGACCGTTGTGGAAGGAATGCTTTTCTTCCTTAACGAGAAAACGATTTTTGTATTCCATACGATTAGACTCACACTCAATTCAGTACAATATTCATTCAAGTATTTCACACAGGGTTTGGTTCAAAATTCAGTCGATCCAGCACTTCTAACATTTCTGCAGTCCCAGATCATATCGGAGGTTGGTCACGTGACACGTAAGTCAAGTGGGACACCTGAACGATTACGGAGAGGGTCATACAGTATCTCGGTAGATGGAACTTAGTACGAAGGATTAAATCCAATGTATATTACTGCACATTAATTCCTGCGACCCATCTTTTAGTCCTTTTTAATTCAATGAACCAATTAATGATTTTTAAAATTCAACCATCATATGAGTATTGGCTTCGCCCCTCAATACTGAAAATCCTTGCCCCTACAATATGTAGTATCTTGCAGTCCTCTCAATGTTTCTTAAACCGACGCAAATCTATACCAAGGAAGTTTAGTATAATTTATTCGGTGGTTTATACTACACTACTGCATTCCACAAAGTACAGTATTTTACTTAATTCTTCATCACCTGCAGAAAGAGTAGTATCCTCTCTATACTACTCCAAATGAATGTTTTCCAAAAGGAGAATCAGGTTGCACTGAATTCTTGGTACTGTATTTAGAATGAATACAGTACAGTACTTTTCTATAATTCCCTAATATTTGTGTAGCCAAAATGCTACTCCATATATATATACTGTATATATACAGTATATGTAAATGAGCCTGAAAATAAAACTCTTCGTGACCAGAGATTTCTTGAAGTCATGTACTTGCTGCATTTTAGGGAGATTCTGCCGAGAAGTATTTGAGTTACGTCTATAAATCTGAATTGACTCACGCATCATGCACAGCACATGATCAAAATGTATATAATCATAATTCCTGATAGCAGCTAAAAAATCGCGTTTCATTCCCACCTCATTCCTCGTTAAGCATTAGAAGAATGCCTTTCAAGACGATCGCCAAGCAGAAAAAAAAAAACTCATTTTAGCAAGCGAACCATAATGCTGGAGGGAAACCAAACAAAATTATTGCCACCACCCATCATCTCAGCGATCACTATACAGTAGTGTACATTCGAAGTTTTTTCCTTTACAAGGTTTTATATTTGCCAGTGAGAACATTATGCATATTAAAAATTTGGATGGCAAATCAAAAGGAGGAAAACCATATAGATGCAAGTTCCCAGGTAAATGACACACTGAAATCCCCCTTGATAGATTTCCCAGAGCAACCCTTACGTCTTCAGGTCTCCGTGGGCACAGGATTTCTGCTGGCATTAACACAGTATGATCAAGTAGCCCAAAAAATAAAGGTGTCCTGAAAAGAAATAGTTCATTCTCATCAATGGAAAGAATAAAAAAAAACTGTACCTGGAGAGATCAAAATTGCATTTCCAAACTCAACTTTACAAGGATCCAAAAGAAAAGTTCTCTCTTAAGAAATTATATCACATTTGCAAAATATCATACGCTGGTTTCATTCCAGCACAAAAATACACAGAAGTTTCGAATACGTTGTCGTTTGGCCGATGTTCAAAAATTCAGATTCTGCATGATTTGTCCAAGTCCTGCACCAGATGGAAAACCGAGCGTATTGAAAGAAGTCTGAAAAGAAAAGGGAAATAATGTAAGTTTCACCAAGATTCTAGGCAACACCATCCACAAACTCCCAACACATCAAATAAGGCATAAAAAAAATCGTCGTTTCCATAATTGAAAACTCGAGCACTGTTCGTCAGTAACCTGTTCTTCCAAAGGGAAATATCTTCTCGAGTATGGAAAAATTTAACACAGGTAAATAAATAACGAATCTTCTTTCATGCAAGAGAACAGATTACCAGTGCTGCCCAACTCAGTCGTGGCCCAGGGCCAGATCAACACATTTTTGTGGCCAAAGGCCACATTGTAGAGTATGTAGAGGTGTGATGCGTCTTCGCATTCCAAAGGATGGACGATGATTTTTTGATCTCTCGTATGACAGATATGTCACTTATTTGAAATCGTGGGTAATTAATTTCCAAGAGGCTGCAAATTTCCACTTTAAATGAAAATTTTCAAAATTAATTCAGTTCCATGCATTGAATCACAAACGTATCTTTTTGGAATTTTTAAAACTTTAAAAATTTCAAATTAATTCTTCGGTGATGTATCCAGACTAGTGGCTGCTGACACTTTGAAAATTGTAGGGAAAAAAGACTGTGGGACTGGTGAAGCGTCTCTGCGGGTTGGATCCGGCCCGCATGTTGGGCAGCTCCGGCAGCACTGGAATAGACATTTTTGTCTTCTTCAATTTCAATATTTTTTTTTGCATTCGCAACGTGTGGTTGTCAAAATCCGAATATCAGCCCTTTCTCTCATAAAAACGACCAACTGATAACTTACCTGATCAGTGGTGGTGGAATTGGAAGTTATCAAGGGACTAAACGGAACATGGAGCTGCTGACTCGCTGTCCCTGCAGCTGGAAACGCCGACATCTGACCTGTGCTGGGCAAGGAGGCAGTTGCATTTGTGGAGTGCGAGAACGAGGTCAGGTTCGGAGCACGATGATAGTCCAAGAAACTCGGGGCTTGACTAACAGCCGCTTGAAATGGCACTGATGCACTCCCGGCATTCGCTGTTTTCGACTGGGTTTCCTGCAAAACACATCGTCGTAATTGATCATGCTGACTGGATACCAGGGCATTCCTTCAATTACACAAGATTTTCCTGCTAATTTCAACTTCTCAAGTATTGCAGCATGAACAAGGACAAAAAAAAAAACCGCACGATCGGCTCGCCATACATAAACCGCAAAAACACCTCTTTTTCAAAAATGTAAACGAGCCGCAGTCTTTCTATTCTATTGGAGTGCGGCGAAGTGACATCCAGCCATTCGAAATGGACGGAACAATAAACAACTTGTCGAGTCTCACGCTAGAGACAAGAAAAATTCTCGAACAACTATCTCATTTCTCGGTATTCGGGAATGTCCTCAAGTACTGGATGCAGAAACCCTTCAAAATGTTTCTCAAATATTTTCATCAAGTTGGGTAAGTTCGGAATTTCCGGCAAATCAGAATATAAAAAAAAAGAATTTGTCAACCGCCTCCGGTGAAGACAACTACAGTACCAGGAAATGACAATGGATGTTAAATAGCATTTCTGCAAATCTACGATACTGCTGTACATTGGTTTTCTTCACATGACTCATCAACTAAATTTTCTTATCTACTCAGTCATGCACGCAAGTACACTATTGTACCACAAGAAAATTTCCATCTCTTGATAACACTGGGTGGGCGGAGGTTCTTCCAAATAAGGGATAGATTGAAGGGTAAAACACCGCATTTATGCGAATATATATTTGCATATTTATGCAATTTGCCAACCGGTACATCTATGCAGTATTAGAAAATCTTCCTACTCGCGGCCCACAAAACCATCGAGCACTCCTGCTCAGTTCTTTCGGAATTGAATTTGAAAATAATCAAGAAATGCTCATAGTTCAGCACTCCCAAGATGCACGAGTCATTCACTGAAGGGGAAGAGCAAGGGTTGTGTAACATCGTTTTTATCTTTCTGTGGAAAACCTCGTCCATCAGAAATTTCAGGTTCCTGGAACGTAAGAACACCAGGAAATTAAGTGGGCACTCATATTCGCCCATGAATGAAATTTTAATTTGGTTCATAAAAAATCCAGAGGGGAGCTTACATATTCGCGTACATAAAGTAAGATGAACCATCTTCGGTGACGGCAATCATCTTAGTCCGGAAACTGCAAGCCGGAAAGTATGTCGATTCACAACTAACTGGCAAAGCAGACCATATACACTCTGTAATACATCGCAATATCACCTTCTGATCAATGTCCGGAAACAAGGCATTCAGGCTGAAGTTGAGCAAGTTATTCGACGTGTGCCCGGACTTGCCATGACCAGCCTGCTGGAGATTATCGTCCCTCGCTGCGGGCTGCTGAACTCCCTGCCTTCGATCGCTGCTCGACGGCATCAACTGCGCATACGTCGGCGGGGTAGCCTTACTTTTTCCGTCCCCGTAAAACCCAGTTCCCTGGTTAACAATATTCCCTTGATCGAACAACGAAGGCAGACTCGTGGAAGAGGCAGGAGGTACAGAGTTTTGCTTGGGCTTCCTGGATGCGGAAGTGGAGGACTTCGTGGAGCTCCGGGATGCGGAAGACGTGGTGTCTGCGGGTTGTCGGTATTTGGAGGATTCGATGTGGTATGAAGGAGCTGTCGAGGTCGAGCTCGAGGAGGAATACTGGGTAACCGGTTGCGAGTAACTTGAGAACGTCATTTGAGTTTGATATCCCGTCGACATGTTCTGATCGAAGGCAGCGTACCTGCGACACATTCAAATTTCCCCCCAAACAAACATCAGGCTTGGCTGTAGATACTTTACTGTAGTGTACACGCAATATCGTCCGTAACCGACTATCGTAACCTTTTTCACATTCTCCTGGCACTCGAAGATTACATACCTTTTTTTTCTAATTCCCAGGCTCAAAAAATTCCATTCGAGAGGAATTGTTTCTTTTCTTCGAGGGACGAGCAATCGTGGTTTAATGATACTTCAGGACTAACCAAAAAAAATATTACACTCAAATGCGGCCTAGTGTTCCGTCCCTTCTTGAACTTCGTGCGTACAATTTTTCTGCATCATAAAATCGATTCAGCCCGTAATTCCAAATACTGCATTAGAAAAATCTTCCGCCAAAAAACGAAAAAATTCCATCGACTCAGCTGCTAGATTTTTCCACTACCCATCCTCCCTGTATTCCTGACGGCCCCCGGTAATTTTTGCGATGTTTGCAAAGCTTTAAAAAAAAGGGGGCTTCTCGGGAAGATTTCAGAAAATTTTTCAAATATTCATTTTATCCGCGGATGACTACTCCAAAAGATGATGCCGTATTTAGATGAACAGCAAGTCGAGGCTAGAGGGCATACAAATGTATGGAAATACTGTACCGTACGAGGTATGAAGTGAGATCTCTAAAATTATGGTGTGAAATTTTGTTTACATCCTTTACAATTCAAGTAATTTTAAAAATTCTACAAATGTTTTATTCGGAAAACGGACGTTTTGAAAGAAAAACGAACCGGTGCGTAACATGATAAAGGTCTCTCCCAAGCGATACAAGTCTCTAAATGTTCATCAAAGATTTAAACCTGGCATCAAAACCTAACATATTTTTAGGCACAATAAAAGGAAGTACAGCATGCATTATAAGCACGCACCATTTTTGGCTCATATAACGTTTACAGTACAACAACAAAAATAATATAACTTCAGAAATCTTCAGTGTTAACCAGGGAACTTCAAAAAATATGTGCGCGTTCCTTGTACAGTATTCTCACCTAGGTATTTGAGTGGAAGTTCCATTCGACCAACAATGCCCCAAAGGCAGCTCGGCACCGGTCAAGGAATTCCCAGTATTGCACCCACCCGAAACTGCGCTTCCACTACTGGCTTGCGCGTAACAATTCGCTCCAAAGCCAGTACTTGTTTGATCCAACCTATTATTCCACGAATCCGACAAGCTCGGGAACGTCGAAAACGATGTAGAAGAAGTAGTTACGGTTTGCGGAACACTGCCAACTTGATACGACGACCCGCAAGAGGTGGTCGATTGCGAATTCGGACTCTGCCACGGCGCCCAATGCTGATTCACGCTTCCAGGCATCGGATTCGAGCAATTTTGTGTGTTTCTCTGAGTTTGTTGAGGAACCACAGACCGTTGTTGCTGGTTGGAAGGCGCGTAATTATTCTGGTACTTGGTCCCTCTGTATGTACTCGTTTGCGGTGCCACACTGGGCTTACTCGCTCCACGATTCCAATACGTGTCCGGATAGTAACTGGGTTGATCCCTCAGCAATGCTTCTGCTGAATACGCACTTCGCTGAAGACTAGACGAAGAAGCTTGAGGCTGGTGAGAAAGCATCGCAACAGTTCTAGGTGCGGAGACTTTAACGGTAGAAGGAGCATATGTGTGTTCGTTCAAACTGGCATCCTGGGGAGTCTTGTCGACGAGTTGACTGACGGACAGAAACGCTGCAGACGAAGCCTTCTGCTCCATCTTAGCCGTGCGTTTTTCCGGTTGCAGGGGAAGCGAGTCCTTTGCTTCGAGTTGCGGCTCTTTGATACCACTCTGTCGGCGCTTGTCATGGCTCCGCGGGTCGGGTTTATTCCGGGATTTCGCTTGCGGAACACAAGATTCTTTGGCAGCCGGCCAAGTATCCAAAGGAGAGTCCAGGGATGTGTTCATCCAACAATTCTGCAACCATGACAACGACCCCGTGGAGGTGGCCGGGGTCTCCTGGCAGGACTGCTGAATCTTGCTCGAGATGGAGTGATCCGTGTCACTCAAGGCATGCTTCGGATTCGTCTTCTCTCGCGTCTCTGATGTTTTCGAGTCTTCGACGCAGTTGGAAATGTTGGGGAGGAAGTTTGACTGGGAAGTAACGAAGTCGGACAGCGGGAAATCTTGGACACTCAATGAATAACACGGATCAGTAGTGGTTGCCAAGGATACGTTTGCACTCAGGGAGGTTTGTGGGAAGTGTGTCGTCATAGGATTTGACACGGACACAGCAACGGAAGCTGGTGGCGGTTGAAGTAGCGTCACGTCACTGGTTGGAACAGGACCTGACGTAGAAGGTGCCATGATTTTCTCCGCGGAATGACTAAGTAAGGACTTCTCCACCCAATCTTCAGCAGTGGGCAAGGACACTGAAGTCTCATTTGTTTGAACGGTTGGAGTAGGATTTATCAAACTGGTGTCGACGTTCTCCGAAGTTGAGATACTCGCCTTGGCCGCATCGGACTAAGAAGAAACAGAAATTAGAACGAAGTTTTCATTAACCTAGAAAATATGAAATGAAAGGGACGCCAAAAAAATAAATAAAATAATAAAGAATTCCATTTTGTTCTCCTATTTACAGTCAAACTTGGTAGAAACGAATTTCACGGGACCAGCAAACAGAATTCATAATGAAATGAAATAGGTAGGATCTCTCTACAACAATCTTATTTACAACGATTATTTTCTGCATAGCTAATTTTTCTATTTACCATAGGTTTCTTTCCCCATCGTATAAGGATTCTCAACAAGAAAATTCTCTCCGAACTAAATTATTTCTGCTACCCTGAATTCCGTCGTGATGTAATGCTGTACCGTAATAATTTTAATCTTCAACATCTTTCAGTGAAAACCCTGCTGCATTTGCATGAATTGGCTCGGAACCCATCGCATGCTACGATGGAGTACATTAATCACCTTCTCAATGGTACTAATATCCGCATCAGGTTTCGGATCAGGTGTCAAAATCCCGGCACCCAAATCCTCCAAATCCGCGGCATCAACCAGCTGTGATTCGATTTCCCTCTGGGATTCAATCTCCGCAGTTTTATCATCTGTAGACGGGTCCGGTTCTTTCGGATCTTCAGCCTTTTCCTCAGCAGGCTTCATCACGGTAACGGGCTGCTTCACATTCGCAGTTTCACTTCCTGAGAGCGAAACACTTCCCGTGACTGCAGCCGGAATCAAAGAGATTATCTGAGGGAAAATAAAATTCGGGTACGGAGCCACAGGGAGCAAGGACTGCTGTGACATAATCCTCGGGATCGGAATTTCCCCGTTCGGTCCTTTAGGTACGAGAAGTGGCCCGTTGGATGAAGCCATAGAAATGATTTGCGGAGGAGCAGCGGAAAATGCAACAGACGCAGAAACGGGAGTAGAAGGCTGTACATCTTTCCGACGCTTCTTGGAAAAGTTCTTGGCTTCTTTTTTGTCCGGGACAACCACGAGGCACGGTTTTCCATCTTTCATGGACGCCTTCACAGTAAATGCAGAAGTGGATAGCGGTTTACCAAGTTCATCACAGCATACAGAGCAAAGTTCTTTGAAATCTGTTTGAGTTCCCCGCGAGTCCAAAGATACCTCGAATTGACTGCTATCTTCTGAAAAAAAAATTATAATGTACTGTACCTCAAAATAAAATAAATTACAGCGTAAAACAAACAAAAGAGGCGGCGAAATTGAATCCTCTCAACTAATGTCTTCACGAGTTGAGATGAAAGCTGCTAACTTTCAATGAAAATCCCGGAAACCTCGGCTATCACTGTTACTTAGTTCTGAACAAACGTATATCAAGAGAACAATGCCCCCTTGATGCCAAGACAGAAGCAAAATCAATACGCAAGAACATAAATTAATCATCTGATGGTGGGCAGCACAAAACTAAAACAAAAGCCAGAACACCAGCAAGAGAAATAAATGAAGCTAAAAACCACGCTTGTACTCCGAAGATTTTTCAATACAGTGATATCGCGTAAAAGACAAATTTTTCGCAGGAAGGATTCTGGCTGACGCCGATTTTTGCTTCAAACGGTGGACCTTGTTATTGAATGACTACAAGCAAAATGACCGTCCTCGAAAGCATCGCAGTTGAAAAAGAAAATCCGGATTTCAGGGACATTCTTCACCTTAACATGTACTGTACTTCATACTTCCGATGAGCATCATGAATTGTTCTCTTTGATTCTGAAATGTAGCGAAAAATTCATGTAATGCTCACCACCTCCTTCTGCACAACGTTCGGCCTTACGGGCTAATGCAGTCAAACGCTGGATTTTCCATTTCAGTTCCGTTTCTCGTGCGAGAAACTTCTCTTCAGCTGAAAGCATCACGAAAAAAGTGTTGCTTCATTTCGTGAAGTAAAGACCCACATATCGCTTGAAAATTTACCCTCTGCCTTCTCAGCAGAACACAGTTTCAGATTGTTGAGCGCTCTCTCGAGGATGTCCTTATTTGAAGGAGGCGTTTCCTCTGGATCCCCCCAAAGAAGCTCATACAGGTCTTCGAATATCTTTCGTACATTCTCACGGTAAGTTTTCTCAATACGCGATTTTCTGCAAGTCGAAGTAGTGTAACGTCAACCCCTTCAATACTCTTAGAAAAATTAGGTACGCACTTAATCCGCTCGAGTTTCTTGCGATGGTCATCGGCCTTCCGTTTCGGCCTGGGGGCCATCAACAGAACAATTCGAGAATTTACATGAACGCGAACTCTGAAACCCAAAGTCGAAGTCTTCAGAAAAATAATCGAACAGTGACATTTCCGAGTAAAAATTCGTAGAATAAACATGCAATATTTTTCTTGAACACCGATGCTTTAATTTGCGCCTCACATCACATAGTTTACAGAAGACCATAATTTAACACCCCGGCAACACGATTTCCTTCGGATACAGTCCTTCCGGAATCCTGAAACGAAAGGAAGAGAAATGATTAGAAGAATCCAAGCGTCCGAAAAACATTGGAACTTACAACTGCTACATGGATCACGAACGCCACCAGCGCATCAAGAAACGTCATAGCCGACCTGAAAAATTACAACGAAGACATCAGGCTAAACCCCGAAGATTCAAACTAGAAGTCGTAAAAAGGTAACGATCAGTGAAAAGTTTGTCATCAAATATTCAGTCCCGAAAGATGAAAGCATCACGTGGAAACATAAATCGCGAAGAAGGAAACAGCAAAACTCACCCATCAATATCACAGCAAGTTTCCGATATTCCACCGAATACCGTTTCATCCGAATGTGGAGTCTCTCCCATCAGCCTACAATAAAAAAGATGATCACGACACAGAAAACAATTGATCCACCAGCAGATGCTTGTTCGCATCAGCAAGAAATTGACATCATCCTTCATCAAGATAGCAAATACTCAAAAAGAGACATCACGTGAAACTGATGGAATTCAAGTTTTAGAAGGGACTTACCAAAATGCGATCATACGTGGACACGTCGAAGTCGGCTAATCCGCGCACGTGAAACCTAGAATAAAAAATTCCAAATGGTATTGAATAAAAGTTTTAAAAAAATGAGTTGAATACAAATTTAGATTTACTCAGCGAGTATTTGGCATCACTCAATTCAGCCCCGAAAGATATGAACCATCACAGAGAAACCCATGGAATTGAACCGAACAATTCTTCCAAACTCACCGGCACGGCCGAACGGTAAGTCATGGCAGTGGTGAAAGTCGTTCGAGGACCTGTTGAGAAGATTGGAATATCACTTCAACCTCCAACACTAGCGTTCGGGATGTATTATTCAAATGAAATAATTTGTCATTAATAAAATTGGCATCACGGTCTTCAGCCGAAAGATGGTTAAAAATGTATTAATCATTTGCAATGAGTGAATAAGATGAAGAAACTAATACTCACGGGTCCAGAAAAACGCCGAACTCTCCATTCGCCGGTCGGCTGAAACAGAACAGGAGAGAGCACATAAGATGGAAGTTCGGATGGAATTATGATCAATTCAATCTCAGAATTCGATAAACGCATGTTGGAGTGCGAGAACTTTTCAACAAGGGAAGTATCTCAAAAGCTTTAAAACCATGATGAAACTGTTGTGATCGTCCTTGGGAATTCGATCAAGGGAAGATCTGAATTCCCTACACACGAACTTCATTAATTTACCCACCGTGAGAACACCGAATGAGCACGTGATTGCAACAATTGGCTGGCTTAATATGGTGGGATTCTTGCTCTGTTGCCTTCAACTTAATATAGTTGATATTTCGAAGAGAATGCAGCTCTAGTTACACACAGGAACTAACTTCGTTATTTTCAAATTTGGTAAGATCAACATTCAAAATAGATAAGATTAGCAAAAATACTCACAGGCTCGAGAAAAGCGTCCAATCCTTTATTCCACGGTAGTCTGAAACGGAACGGAACTCATCAAATGGAGTCGTAAATATTGGCAATAGAATTCGACCACTTCTGCCCGCTGGAACGTTCGTCAAGAGGCATACAGTACTTCTATTATTTTTACAAAGCATATGAAATGTAGTTTTCGTCCTTGGGAATTCGATCAAGGGAAGATCTGAATTCCCTACACACGAACGTCATTAATTTACCCACCGTGAGAACACCGAATGAGCACGTGATTGCAACAATTGGCTGGCTTAATATGGTGGGATTTGTAGTAAGGTAGAAAATCAACGTGATTTGCTTACCCATACTTCAAGAAGCAGTACGGCGCTCGTTTCATCCCATATCATCGCATCCGGGAATCCCTGTAGGAAAAGACCGAAAAAAAAACCGAACGATGAACTACGAGGTTCATGTGTCACTTGATTTGTCTATTTTCTACAGCGTGGGTCACGGAGAATTACGATCACCTCAGGAGTCGGGAAAACTAGATAAAATTTCACTACTACGCAGTGAACAAAAATTTGGAGCCTAGACATGAATTTGAACTTCATAAATTTATTCACTTCTCGTTTGAAGAACATTATCTCCATGTGTCGGCGTTAATTTTTCGAAGAACACCACATAGGAGCTAAAAGTCAATAAATCGAAAATATGGCATCACTTACGCTTGAAATGCGAGATAACTCGAAGATGCGCCGACTCAACGGAAGAGTCTTTCACACGTTTCCGCGTAAACGACTCAATCGTATTTCTCTCCATTCTGTCCGAAGATTTCGCAGAAAATTCCAATACAGGAGTTGCGGTCAACCAATCGGCAAACCACACCCCATTTTCACTCGCAAACAAATATCGGCTCCCAAATTCCTCTAAATTTAACAAATATGGCCCAAAAAAATCACAACACGTCAAGACCGCGAACTACGCTTTCCCTTCAGATTTTCCTTCACGCGCAAACGCCAGTTCAAATCCTTCAAGCGCCGACGCCACGCCTGCTGTCGCTTAGTAAAATTGTCCTTCCCCACCTCATACATGCGCAATAATTCTTGCTTGTTCGGCATCGGCTTAATGTAACCGAACCGTGTCAGATACCTGCAGGACACAATTCAAGTTTTCAATGCAAAATAAGATACATGGCTAAATTTATGACCTGCGCGCTGTCCAGAAAATCGGGATGGGTTCTAAGACTGCTCAGTTTCTCTTCGGATAGAATCAAATCCCGCTAGGATGCCGAATGAGCCAAAAAACTCGAAATTTATCTTGAAAATTAAATTTTCTACCATTAATAGAAAACTCCATTGAAACAGCTCACGCCAAAATTCAAGAAAAGTGGTATGGAATTATATTTGGGGATCACTGACAAGATAAAGCGAAGTTTCTTGGAGAGGTCTCGACTTGAGGTCATTGCATTTTTGTATCCACTTCTCGGGAAGAATAGTTACACACAATTCACCTTCTTTTTGCAAATCATATTGCAGAATTTTAATTCGAATGACCAACCGTTGAAGGCATCATTAGCATATGTTGGCGGCATAACACGTTTGAACAATCTCGAAGACTCCCGAAACTCATAACCTTACGTTATACTTTCTACAGCTTCGACAATTTGTAACTTTCAAGAACAAAAGTAGCTTACCGCACAACCACTGTCGTGCCTCCAATCGTCACAACGTAACGCAGCGGTGTCACGAGCTTGTAGCAGGCATACACGACTGCATAATATCCAGCATTGGAGTTCCGGACAGGTTTCATCAAAACTTCTGGAGCACCCAACCGTTCCAAAATGCCTTCCACATCGAGCCCAGACTTAGCCAATACGTAAAAACCGGCAAGCCAAAATCCCGTAGTGACAATATGAACAGGTATCAGAATGTACCAATACTTCTTAGCCATAGCTTTGAATCTCTGGAACAACGTCTCCTTCGTCTCAGTACCACTAGCCAACACATGAGCACCATTTCCACCCTTAAGCCGACTTTCCTCGTCATCCTTCTTCGGAACGGCTGAATAGAGTCGTGATGGGAAATGTTCATTTCGTGGAACTGTCATTATCGAGGACGAGTAAAATGGCAATATTCCGTAGCACTCATGATGGTCGATTTTCCGGATAACAGATAGGCGATAGTTAAAAGACGTAGCTGGTCTTACGACGGAAAACGAGAAGCTGCCGAATGCGGAACACCTCAACCCATTCGAAAATCGACTAAAGGGAAGCTGGCCAATCCGGGACAGACACACTGCCATAATTTAAGCTGCGTTAAATTCATCACGTGACCACATACATTCTTGAACCTGCATAGAATAGTTCATTCGTGTACTGAAAAACTTCATAAAGAATCGGTGCAAATAAGGAGAGGCATGATTAAAAACCAGCAGGTATAACTTGTAAAATGCATGTATTCAACGATCGGAAATCGAATAACTCCAGATGCTGGCGGACGCTCAGGCACGAGGATACCTGCCAAGAAACATAAAAACGAACAATTTCATTGCACATGATTCTACAGCGTAATCGAAGTAAATTCCAAGATCGGCTTAGACTGTAGCAATAATTTTGGCACCTTAGATCGACTGGATACGCATCTAAGGCTTCCTTCAGAGCTGATAATATTGCTCCATTCAGAGTGAATACTCATGGCACTGACGCAAGCTGAAGAATTTGCAAGCGCAGCGTGGCGTAAGAGCTTTTTACTCATTTTATCGGAAATGTATCCCAGCAGATCTCATCAAAACCAAGTCTGCCCTTATTCTCGAAAAAATCAAAGAGTATTCACCGTTTGGAGTCGACGATCGTGGAAATACAGTACTTCAACTGTTTTCTATCACATCACCAGACGAACCAGGCACAATAGAGCACGCGTAGCCCAACTTCACGACGATGTTCTATCAATTAATCCAGCTGTAAAAAAAAAAAGGTTCTAGTTCACACAAAATCGGCATGTTCAGACCCCGTCGGCGGTCGGATTCATATCTCTTCAGTTATGTGTGTAGTGTGCCAGTCCGCACGAAAATTGGCTTTCGGCAATAAGATTTCATCACAAACGCTCAATACCGAGGAAATACAGTACACCAGGAAGTACTCACTCAGCTTGAAGGTAGCAGTCAATCCGTCAATTTGATCGCAAAACGTTCTGCAACAAAATAAGCAACGAACCTTGAGAAATTTTCAACTTGGGAATTTCTCGAACGAACGAACGACAAGATTGATCAGCACATAGGTAAGTCGAATAAATTACCCTCACATATTATCAGGGCAGATTTTTCATCATTTCAACTACTGATCACACAACGAAGATGTGTGAACTCACCTTCATCGCCATGCACGCAAATTATCGAGTTGGAAAATTTGCCGACACGCCTCTAAACCTCCAGCATCCGTTAACACGGGAAAACTTCACCTGTGGAAATTCCGAAACAATCAGAACACTCTCGCCTTCTACTTTTACAACATTAGCGACTAAAAAATCTCAGATATTTGCTGATATGGTCGACACGAGAATTCAGAAGAGGTGTCAGAAATTAAGCAATTCATCACATCGGAGGAAATCATCGAGCATGGAGGACACTCACCTTTGAATAACATCGAAATCTTCCTCTCAAGCATCTTCCCAACCGAGCAGAGAACCTGAATTATCAAGAGAAACAATTAGTTCAGAGCTTCATAGATCCGCAGATGAACAAGAAATGTTGAGAAATCGTTCAGGTGACGAAAAATTTTGGTCAACACGCTGATCTGAAGCTTTCAAAAGTCATCATGATAGACGAAGCACAAGATCAAGGCAAAAGAAGGAAAAAATCTCACCTACAATGACGAACTCCTACCGCATCATTCTTAAGACCCACGGACCTACAATGGAAAAAAATTAACATTATTTAATGATGTAAAACTCAATGCGGCGTCTAGAATTACGCAAGATCAGAACCTCAAATCATCAAGAAGTTCAGGGGTGTCCTAAGGACGAGTCATCATTCTGAATTACTGTAAAACCTACACACGAACATAAACTCACCTTAGATACATTTTGATTCGGCCCTCGTCTCAACCATACCAAATCGAGTGTCACTGCAAAAATAAAAAGGTTCCTTCAATTTGGATGATTGGATATTCCATTGAATTCAGTTCAATTAAAACAAAATCAGATAAAAACTTGATTATCTTCGCAAGGGATCAGCACAGGTCTGTGTATATTCATCAGTCACTTGACCAGTTGAGTGAAATTCAACATTCGACTTACCGAAGTCTCGGCTTCCATCACGTCCTCGTCGATATGTATCCAAATTCGGACCTGCAATAATATCAACGTGTTGTACTTGAATAGCATGATCGAAGACAGGTGAGCGAAATATTTCGATTCAACGATCAGAACGGCGAGCGTTGTCTCTTCAATGGAATCCGCAAACGCTAATCATCACATGAACAGAGATAAATCAGAGAAGATGGCGAAGCTCACCAGAAATTCCCAATCCAACGGGGAACGTCGGTGAACACGGGATCATACTCTTGGGAGCCTTCGGGCATTTGAACAGGATTACAAAGTGCTGGAAGATGAAATTGAAAGTTAAAATTTGCATCTCTACGGAACAGAAGTTAAGCCAAACGATGATCAGAACGGCGAGCGTTATCTCTTCAATGAATTCTGCTGACGCTAATCATCACCTGAGAATCGGTATTTCAGAGGATAACTTAGAAAACTCACCTACAGCTGTAGCTAGTCGAGCACGCGAGGAACTGGAAAAAATGAGAAAAAAACAAGAGTAAGAACGCATCTAAAGCATTCGTGCATGGATAAGTAACAACTGAATTATCAGCGAAAAAGTTTGATAGGGAATCCAAGTTTTCTTCATCCACTTCAAAGCGTCGAAGCGAGCTAGGTTGTGTTTCATCATTTCGAGTAGAACGTAATAATCTTCGAAAAATTCTCACCTGAAAATGTTGATACTTGATACAGTGAATCGCGGCACTTCGGACGGCTGGATACGAACTGCAAAACGAAGATTTCACGGATGCGTTCAGTATTGGAAAAATATACGGAATTCAGAACTGAAATTCAGCAGTCTCGAAGAAGTCATTTGTTCCGCATAATCACGGCACTTCGGAAAGATTTTCAACAATTCCGAGGCTTCCTACAGCGATTTCTCTTTAGCTCTTCTCTGAATTGAAATTCATGGCACGGTGAAAAACAAAAGGTTCGTACCGCGTGGCGCAGAGCATAAAAAATGCACCCAAGGGACGAACGAATTCAACTCACCATCACATTTTCGTTTAGGATCGTCGATCGTAACATCCAGTCTGAAAAGAAAATAATCATATTTCAGCATACGTTCGAAGTCGCGGTGAACTGAGTTGCGAATGCGGATTTGTCAGAAATTAAGTTGATAGGGTTTCGTAAGTTTTCTTCATCCGCTATTAGCATCGAAGCGAGCTAGGTAGATTCATCATAACGAGAAAAAAAAACATAATAATTGGAATGCTCACCGATGTCCAAATGCGAAGACGTCCAAGATCGCGGAATGGGATCGTCGATCGTAACCCACAGTCTGAAAAAATAATCGTATTTGAGCATTCTCTCAAAGTCACGCTTCTCGAATTAGTGACTGCGATTTCTTCAGAAATTAAGTTGATAGGGTTTTTTAAGTTTTCTTCATCTGCTATTAACATCGAAGAGAGCTAGGTAGATTCATCAAGGAAATATAAATTATGAAAGCAGCTCGCATGCTCACCAATGCACGGCTCAAATGCGAAGATGTCCAAAGCAGCGTGGGAATCCGTAAAATTTCCAATCCTGTCGGAAAAATGAAGAAACTGCTATAATCTTAAGTAGACTTTCCAATTGAACCTCGTTCAAAAATCGATCTCAGCACATAGGTGAGTCGATATTTTGCTTATCCTCAAAGACATAGGACTAAAATAATTCATCATACCAGTGAATTCCAGAATGATCAATCAACTTCACTCACCATCGCAAATACGAGACAATTTAGCTTGAAATCCTCGACCAGAACTGCAAGCGAAGCATCAACGTCATCGAAGACATGTTTTCAAGAACGGCTCCTAAGCAAAAGTAAAACTTGATATAATCCATTAGTTTAGACTGCACGGTTTAAGCTTTAAAAGTTTATATTTAGTTTCAGATAGGAGCGAAAGACATTTAATAAGAATCTCAGCATATCAATATCAGCTGAACTATATGGTCATCATTTTAAAAGGATCCGTTAATAGTAAACTCGACTCACCAAGCCTATCAGACAATTGCCTGCGACCTCTGACCGCGTCGGCTGCAAAAAAATCAAGACCTCCCATTACATCAATTGTCATATCTCAACACTTCAACGCCACACTTCTCAGAAGTTTCAGATAGGAGCGAAAGACAACAAAAAAATCTCAGCATATTTGCTCAGCTGAACTATGCGGTCATCACTTGAATCGAAATTCGACAAGAAAATTGTGGAAACTTACTCGAGTATCTCCCGGTCAAGTCCATCCAAAATGTTCGCACCTGGAAGACAGAATGGGTATTAGATTCGACACATTCAACGAAAAAGTTGAATCAAATTCGATAATAATCAGTTCAAGTGTTTCAATCATGGCTATTCAAGAGTAGCAAATACTTAGAATACATCATTTAGGAATTGTCAGCGAATTAAGAGTCAGAAAAATCCTCACCTCACGATCATCCCACAGAGGAAACGCACACACAAGAAAATTCTGAAAGAAAGAGAACCATTTTCTCGATCACTAAAATTGAGCGTGGACGTGCGAACAATCAGGGCAATTGAGAATGACCTTTAAACCCATTACCGAAAGCCATCAGCGCGATCAATTAGATCGTCCAGGTGTGGCGGCTGTCACTTTATTCGAACATAATTCCAACAAAAACGTTTCAACAAAAATAAACACATCTGGCAAGATGAATTCTCAAGCTTGAAGTTTAGCACACATTTACCAACCGAGAACGAATAAATAGCAACGGGACAACAGCGGCAAGAAAATCCAGTCCAACCCATTCCCTGACATTCATAACACAACCGTTTGCAGGCCAGTTTTTCCGGGCTGCATGTCGTAATTCAAAGAGAGCTTCTCCAACGAAACGAGCGCAGAAATGCACATCCTCAAGGTAATCCGATAAATATCTATGCTATTATTAAAACAAAAGAGACATTCCACTCATTTCGGATTGCTCCTTTACAAAAATCTCGAAGTACTGGTAGATTATGGTGACGGCAAGAAGTATTCCTGTGCCTGAGCCAATAGCGCCCATGAAGTCAGCCAACACCGACAACGCACCAATACATAACCCTCCAAAAGCAGCTGCTGTGGGAATGTAGCGATTCAGCTCGTGAATCAGAGACTTGTCTCGATGGCCACGCATGACCATTTGCTGATCTTTCAGCTGCTTCGCAACCTTGTGAAATCAGACGGTTTCGATGACAAAACGATCCTTCCAATGCAAACATCGTGCAGGGTAGAAGTAAATCAAGTGAGACTTACATCTTTGGCAGAGGATCCAGAAACCTCAATCCAAGTCTTTGAGAAAAAGGCGCATGATCCCAACATGAAGCAGATGTAGAGCATCGCATGCACGGGATCTTCTGCTATGTGACCCAGACTTTCGGGAGGGGATAAATAGTAACACAAGCCTCCCACGGGATAAGAGCGGGCCGGACCACCGCTACCAACGTCAGCCCATACTCCAAGCAAATTCACGAAGAAATTCCCTGAGAATTTGACTGCCAACATCTACGAGAAAAAAACAAGGAATGATGAAAAAATCGGAAGCCGAACGATAATGCAGACCTGGAATATACTGTATATTGTCTGAAGTTGCGAATTCATTCTTTCAAGGGAAGAAGAATTTCTTTCATTCTTCACATGATGCACCTTCCAATCCGAATTACCCACAAAAAGTTTTTTTTTTTCCAAAGCATGAACATGCCTCACCTGAGAAATGATATACAGGTTGGAAACCAACGCTGACTGAAGAATAATCGGGATGTTGGATGTGTAGAATAGCTTGATCGGGTAACTGCTGTACTGCCCACGGAATCGAGCAGATTTTATGGGCAAATCCACACGGAATCCCTGATGAAATAACCAGCATTAAATAAAACATCCAATCCATAGGTTTGACTTTGATGGGGAATACCTGGAAATAAATCACGATTGCGAACACCAGCACTGTGGCAAGAAGATTCATCAAATTGGGCAAGTTTTGGCGGTAAAAAGCTTCTCTCAACGCTCGAACTTTGTCTTGTCTCATAGCAAGCAGATGGAATAGAGCGATGATGGCCCCTTCAAATTCCGTGCCGCGACCTGAAAAAACCACCATCTCAAGCAATCTGAACTATCGACAGTCTATGGAAGTTCTCACCTGTGTTCACAGTCGCAGGACTCAGTGCCTTCCACACGATCGTCTCGCAGATGTTCGTAGCGATGAAAAGGGAGATACCAGATCCGAGCCCATAACCCTTCTGCAAGAGTTCGTCCAAAAGCAACACTATCAACCCAGCGACGAATAGCTGAATAACGATGAGCAAGCAAACTCCGGCACCGATTTCAGCCGGATCTCCGTACATTCCCGTCATCACGTATACTATAGCTTGACCCACGGTGATGACCATACCGAACACTGAAATAACAGATCACTTCAAAACCAGGCTCACGGGACATTTCAGCGCGGACATCTCTCATTTCGAACTTGGTTAGTGTGTCTGTCAACTGCTGATATAACAGGATTAAAGTGGAGATTTAAATTTAGAATATTCTTTCATGCCGATTCCTGTCAAATGAGCAAAGGCTTGTAATACTGAACAGGAATTTCTCGGATCGTAGTCATGAGGATAACCTCACATTTACAGTATTGCTGTACATATCGGAACATATGGAATTAGGTCAGGAAGCTTACATTTCTGAGCACCGTTGAACAACGCTCTATCTTTCGGCGTGTCTCCGACTTCGATGATTTTCGCACCGGCAAGAAGTTGCATAATGAGACCAGAGGTTACAATCGGTGAAATACCAAGTTCCATTAAGGTTCCTCTGTTGGAAGCCAAAATTACACGAATCCAGTAAAATGGATCGGCCGAGTCTGAACTCATTATGCCAAACAGCGGAATCTAAAACAAGCCACAATCGGTTAGTCACGGAAAATTTTCGGGAATAGGATTGCATACCTGGCAGCAAACTAGAAAAATGAAGAGCGTGATCGCGGTCCATAGTACTTTCTCGCGGAACTGGATCTGCAAAACATACGTAAAACCATTAAATTCTGGAGAAACTTAACGGTACAATAATAACGAATTACCTTCCGCTCGGGTTTAGCTATTTCCGGAAGAATGCCGCAGAAGGGCTTGATGACATCCAAGAATTTAACTACGGAAAAAGGTGCCTCGTGAGTTTTGTGGTTAAAAATGAAATAGTATCAATACTCACCACCCATATTTGAAAATCACCACCAAAGCAGAAGGTGGCACTTTCATACACCCAAAAATATAGAAAACGTGTCTGAAATTCAGAAGAAGAAAGAGGTACCATCAGCTGACCCAAAAAGAATCGCGTTGAGAAAAACTTCAGCACAGCAACACGAACTCTAGTCTTGTCGATGATACGAAGTACATGGGCGCGCATCCCAGTCCAAGAAACCTGTGGAAATTCGAAGAGATCATCGTATGCGATCTAATACATTTTGAATTTTTGATTCCCAGTAGTACTCTAGGATTAAGGAATGTACGAGATATTACTTAGGGAAGTAGATCATGAAAGTGTCCATTCCCTTACACACATACCCACATAATATCCCCACCATGAGCACACCAAAAGTCTACAATACTCGACGACTGGCTGGCTTAATCAGATGGGAGAAATACTTCAATGTGCATTCGGAGAACAGCCTTACCTGAGTGGAGGTGACCAGTTATCCTAGGCTTCCAGATTCACGAAGTACTGTACACATCGTAGATCCTGGGAACGGAACAGACGAATTGAAATCAGAAATTGCCTATAGATTTCCGATATAAAGGGTAATTCAGCGAATTAAGCTCAGGGTAACTATGACGAAGTATCTCATCAAGAAGACCAGCTTCTCTCGTATGAAGAAATTCAATAAAAATCATCACTGTAACTACAGTACTGTACTTCAGCGATAGATCAACGAGGAAACTTACCGAGCATGCTGTACGGGAGTCTAAAAGCCACATCTTTCGGGTTCGCGAACAACCCCTGCGATTACCGCAAGTTTCGACAAGATCAGAACTCAACGGACGACTTCGAGTGAGACTTCTGCAAGATAAAACAGGAAAAAAGTTGTCCTCCAAATGAATAACTTAAATATGAGAAATTCGGTATTTTATCGACTAATTCGAACACGATACTGAAAGTTTACGCAACTCAACGATCCACCCACAGTTCAACCCAGGTACAAATCTTCAACGCTCAGAGGATAGTAACGCGTCATTGGAGGACATCGTAACCGAAGAAACGTTCAGCTTTCTATTCCTCCCAACATTCGCGTTTGACTTATTCAAGAAGCCGAACGCGCCAAGAATGAGAGGATTTGAAAGGATTCTTAAGCTGACTCACCATGTTCTCAACGGGTAGCCTCCCGGTCACGGAACGAAGTTAAGGTTGGGATGCCTGAAACAAGACGAAATACTATCAAAAACACATCAACGTTAACGACAGCTCGAGTTATTTGGAAATATTATGTACCCTTCTCATACGGCACTTCGGAAAGATTTTTACCAAATCCGAGGCTTCCTGAGAGACTATCGATTTTGCTCGTAATGCAGGTTAATACCTGTGGCACTGTTCTAAGCAATATGCAACTTTTAACAGCGTGGCGTTTAGAGCGTGAATTTCCCCTTCTACACTTAGTCTGCTTTCGAACTCACCTTAACCGAAGATTCTTCCTAATCTGATGGCAGGATCAGGTAATCCGTACGTTTCATCGAGCAATCGAAACGACCGTCACTGTAACAAGGAAAATATGGTCAAATTCTACTGCAAGGCGAAATGACCAACGTTAGGTACTACAGAATTATCAGATGGGCATTGAGTTTTCTTCAAAGATATTCAGTACAGGTCTGCGTTAACTCATCATACTAAGAAAATAGCTACGAGATGAAGGATACGTACCTAAAATGGGGAGAGCGATCGTCAAGCCCGAACTCTGCTGAAGTACAGTCGTCAACCTGGAAGTGTTCATAGCATTAATGACGTATATTCGACCGGACGGTAGTTCAACTGACTCAGTTCCGCGATCAATAAAAGTAGAGTAATTCATGCTATGACGATTTTAACCGGAACCTTCTTTGCGTTACATGACCAACCGTAGATCGAAAGTTGATCTGGGTTAATCAGAACACTAGTCTGGTACACTAGTGAAAGGCAACTACGTACTTAAAACGACTCTTCGCTATAAAAACCTTTCCGGGTTCCCCAGAAAATAATACTTCGCTATCGTATATACTCGACGGAGAATAAAAATCGGCGTGGGATTAGAAATTAAGTTGAATGTTAATAAACTCTTTTTAACAGTTAAGGTAGCCCACATGAGCTTCCTCGATTGGGCTCCGAGATGAATGTGCAACGCTCAGAGGATAGTAACGCGTCATATGAGGACATCGTAACCGAAGAAACGTAACATTTTCTTTCCCTCCCAACATTCGCGTTCGACTTATTCAGAAGCCGAACGCGCCAAGAATGAGAGGTTCAAAGAACAAGAAAAGTTACCAACTCACCGAAAAAGATCGTATCTGGATCTGCTGACGCGCGCTCAGTTCAAGTCGTAACGGCTGCAAATACAGAAGTCCATCAGAAACCCAGAAGACTCAAATGATCGCTAGGCAATGACATGGACGAATGAACCGTCTGAAAATTTGCGGCTTATTCTCGAATTACGTTCAGTAATTCGAAACTGAATGTTCCCTTCTACTACGGCACTTCGGACAGATGAATACCAAATCCGAGGCTTCCTGAGAGGCTTTCAATATTGCTCTTACTGCGGGTGAATACCCGTGGCACTGCTATGAGCAAAAGGCAACTCAGAGCAGCGTGGCGTTTAGAGCGTGGATAACATACGACTGCTTTCAAACTCACCCACTCATCACAGCATCCGTTCGTTGGAGTACGGTATGAACTTCCATCAAAGCAGCTCAACTGAAACAAGAAAAAAGAGTCAGTTCCATGGCGCGAGGAAACACCAGAAGATCACAGAAAATCTTGATCAGATAGGCAATAGGATATCTTCAACGAAATTCGGTACAGGTCTGTGTAAACTCATCATTTAGAAAAAGAAACAGAAATAATTAGATGCGTACCTTCATCGTAAAATGCGACGGGCCGGAACGAGACTTCCAAAGGCTGGGGCAAACCCTGCAAGATCATTCGCACCTTTAATCGAGAAGTACCGGAATGGAACCGACGAAGGTTGGCAATAGAAAATTTCAGTACAAAAAAAAATCTTCTCATTAATCATCAGAAGGTGTCCTAAGAGTTATCATCACGACGGTTAAACGGACGAATTCCAAGTAATGTAAGACTAACCTGATTCGCAACACTTCTCGGTGTAAGTAAAAATTCGGTCAACAGTTCGCCCGGGAGAGTAATCCAGGCCAATATATGCCTCCAAGAATGCGAACGTTAGTCAAGACAGATCCTGGCAGAAGCGACATTGACCTGCAAAATCCATCGAAGATTTAGTCGGTTCGTATGGAGCACATGCAATCCATGGCAGATCGAAACAGTTGTCAGGACTTTATTGATCTTCTCATGGTATATCAGAAGGTGTCCTAAGAGGTTCTCATCACTGTGAAACAGAAGACTACCACGTGAAGCAAAACTAACCTGATCCAGCTGGCACAACCTAGGCAGGCATGAAGTAGGGTCGTCGAAAAAACACGGTTGAATGGCAATTCCAAGCGATATCCGCAGCCAGCTCCTTAAAAGATAAACGTCGCAAGTGAACGGAGGAAGCAAATATCGAAAAAGGTTTTCGTGAGAAGAATTCAGGAGAAGTTGAGAAATCATCTTATTCATTCGAAAGATGGTAAGATCATTGATCATCATGTCAAGCTCGCACGAATAATGTTAGTAAACTCACGGAATTTTATTCGCCTGCGCGTAGCCAGTGACGGAGTCCAAAACCAAAACAACCGCATTGACACCGTATGTATCTCGATGGCATCCAGAATAGTTTTTCATCAGTACTCCGTTGTTCACAACGTAAGGCGCGATTTCCGACATCAATCGCCGGATTCCACGAACTCGACATCGTCTGAAATTAGATGGTGATCACACATGATCGATGGACATGGGATTACACAGTACCGCGCCGTATTTCAGAGTTCAAGACCTTCAACCTGTTCCTCTCAGCCGATGGTTAATTAAATTAAGCAGTGTAGAACACTTCCGTCACGCTCATGATAGTGTAAGTTGGAACCGGAATAATCCTTGAGGGTGTTCGCTCGAAAACAGGAAATAAGGTTATCATCATTGTAGGGACGATTCACAGATACAATGAAATGATATGTTCTATCCGCACGCGGAGGTAACCTCATTTCAGAATAAGAACTGGGTTAAGAGAACTCGCGACACAGAATGGAGTTCGTCTTTCGCACCAGTCCAGATCGCAGGACCTCAAGATGGATTCTGAACCGCACCGATTTCGTTCTCTCGCGAAAAACCTTCATCCGACAGCAGGCTTTACAAGGTCGAAATATTCGAAACAAGAACCTCCCACGTACATGCTCAAAATGGATGCCGCAACATCCAAGTCTAGCAAGCAACTAACGGATTGGTTACGTTGCTGGCGCAGAACAAGTTTTCAGGCTAGCGCAGAGTAGCGCCATGCTGGATTATTCGATTTAGCGACAGCCTGGAAGGAGTTCACGCCAGCGTCCGAGCCATTTTACACAGGCACGTAGCGCCACGTTGTCACTACATGGCTTGCGCAACTGCGTGGTGAGGAGGGGG